CTTGAGTTGCGCCTTCAGGAGTCGAACTGCTGCTTCAGCTCGATTTGGCCATGGTGTATTCGGTCCCAAGGATATCGGTGATGTCAAGACTGATAGAAATGTTCCCATGTATCTGTCATGAAGGCTTGATCTGCGACAACTGATTTGGGCTGCAAGTGGTACTGGTCAAAATAGTTTCTGAGGGCAGTGATGTTCTTGGCTTCTTGCGTAGTTGTCACTGCCTCTGCAGTGAGCAATGTTGTTGCTCCATCCAGGATGACAAAAACAATGATGTGTTCTCCTGTTCCAAGAAAAACTTGACAGTGATCAATGAATGTCATGTCCCCAAAGGTGTCCGCTCGAAGTCCACTTGTTTTGCTGCGTGATGGTGCGTGTTTTGCCGCTTGGCAAACTTCACACTCACTTCGGATCTTGTCAAACAGATCGAATGTTGATGTCGGCGAATCAAATTGCTCGGGTTCTAAATCGAAATTGATCTGTTGTCGTGTGATGATGCTGCAGGTGGAGTTTCTTCAACTCTTCGGGATTTGACAATCGCTTGTGGATTCTGCCTAGGGCAAGCGGAAGCGATGTTGGTTCTTCTGAGGATGGTGCGAAAGGATCTGGCTCAATAGTCGACCGGCCTGTCTTGTCGATGATCCTGTCTGCTGCCGATCCTGAACCTGCTTCCCTTAAGCGAATTGTCCGCGAAGGTGAAAATGGTCTTACCTGTCCACAGGTTAATCATCGGTTTATTTGCCTGGGATGTAAGTCTCCAATTGTCTTCTAGAATGTCTGGATCTCGACTTGCGGATGCATCAATGATTTCTGTAGTACGTTCTCAGCTAATGTGATCAGGATTTATTGGACATTCCTTGGCTCCATTTGGTGTGAACAGCGCCTTTCAGGGCGTGATGTGCACACGGATTGCTTTTTAGGTCCTCCCTTGTCTCGGATGATTTTGCTGCACAAACAGCTTTGCTCTTGGTGAGATCCCCGGAGGGAAACTTGATGCTGTTATCATCGTCATAGACATAGTTGATGAGGCCCTTGTGAGCAATTTCTCCATGTGCCTTCACTCTTGCAACTCCAGCGAGATCGACAAGTGCATGTCCTCTACCGCATACTGGAACTGCTTGACGGTTCAGGCCAAAAGCCTTGCATGTGATCTTGTCACATTGAGGTGTGTGCTCGATGGTCATGTAGAGGTTCCGCATCTGGCTGATGCTGAGAAGGATTGGTACAGTTCCTTGTTCAAGGACGTCGATGTTTGTACTGCATGGAGGAGTTGTGTGATATCGAAGATGCAGGGTCCAGTTTACCCTGGCGGTCTCCTCCGTTTGCAAAAGTGAACTTGGTCTCGGCCGGGATGTTCTCATAGGAGATGATGTCCTTCATTGGTTCGATGGCCTGAGTAAAACGCTGGATTGCATGCCAGCTGCCCATAGATCTGGTACTTCCATTGTCCAGAATCGCCTAGGTCGGGTTGTGCTGAGGGTTGATGCCATCAGCTTTGTTGCCAGAAGGCTGTGATTTGTTGTGACGGACAGATTGTGTTCTGAAACTGTATCTGATTGGATCAGGTTTCGTGGATGGCCTTTTTCCCAGGATGCTCATACGCATCATGGAATGCCATTAACTTGCTAGATGTGTCATGGTATGAGTACCAGCCATGTTCGTTCCATGTCCATGATTGATCCCAGTCTTGGTCTGTGGTGCAGTCTGCTGGATGGCGGGCTGCTCCTCGGTCTTCTCTGCAGTGGCTGCGAACGTCTTGGATTTTCCTTTCTTCTGTCCGCTCTTTCCTTTGCCACTCTCATAGGATGGATAACCTTTGTTTCCATCATAGGGATATTGGAATTTTGATTTTCCTTTCTTTCCCTTCTTTCCTTTGCCTTTTCCCCAATATGCCTGGTCGTAGGGATCATAGTTTTCGTTGGCCATATTTGCCTTTCCGCAAAAACCGCTTTTTCTGAAGGGTTTGAAGCCACCTCGTTGGTGACTGCCCTTTTTGTTTCCTGATTTTCCTTTTTCTTTTCTCTTGTTGAACTTGAAGTTCCGCCCCGGCACTTTTCTTGCTATGAACGCATCGTTCTCCTCGAGGATCCAGAACGTCTTTTCAGCGTTGTTTGACATGAATCCTTCAAGTCCTTCGTCATCCTCAACCCAGAAGCTTCTTCTCCTTTGTATTCACCTTGTTCGATGATGAAGAATGTGTTGCTTCGGTTGCCTCCTTGAGGTCGGATGGATGGATCTTGGATTGATGTCCTCGTCGTGATGAAGAGTTCATGGTAGTGCGTCTTCAGCATCTCATAGGAGTAGTTTTCGAGTGAGATGTTTCTCAGAGACATGGGACTTGTCAGTCTCTCTCGTTGCTGATCTGACAGCTCACTTTGTTTTTGAAAAACTGTGCAATGAGAGTATCCCCGAAGGGAAATGCGTCCCGCTGTCTGTCCTGCATTCCTTGGATATCTGAGGACTGTCGGATCGTCCTCATTGAGCAGGGCTGGAGGCGGTGCTCGAACACCGGCTGCTTGCTGATGTCGAGCAATTGTTCTTGCGTTTGCGTCCTGTACGGACATGGGGACTGCGCCGTGAAAACGGGCATCAAGTCCATCCATGCTGCCTTCAATCTCATAAGAAGGATTTCGAATTTTGAGGTAAAAATGAGGAACTCTTGGTTCTGCTTTCTATGGTTGAAGAAACTGAGGAGCCTGTACAGATACACGTTGGTCGCACCTTTCAAAAAGTACTTCTTCAGCGTGTTCTTGAAATAGTTGACTCCTTCATCAGGATCTTGCAAAAGGTCATTTTGGAGGACTGCCTTGTGCATGTAAGCATCTCCTGTGAGTCTGCTTTTGAGGAGAGGTCCTCTCTTGGGTGCTTCCACCGTTGTGATGGTCACCCAGTCGTCCACGAGTTCTTCATACCTGAACCAGCTGACTTTTCCGTCGTACGGTGGCGGCTGCTTGGCGGTAATCGATAAATTTAGTGTTTCCTCCGTATAGCCGGGATTTTTGGCCATACTTGAATAGGCTTCCATGAAGCCTTCTCCATCGGATGACATCTTCCCTTGGATCTCTGCGGAAACCCGCTCCGCTACCACAAGTTGAGGCCCACTGCCCCAGGTGCCTATCCCAGAAGGGAACTGGTACCCTGTCGTAGTAGAGGTCGTTGTTGGTCCCTGGATCTATTCCGGAGAGAGTCCAATATGCCAATGTGGATGATTGGAGGATGGATTGTCCCTGGTGGATTGTCTTGTAGATCATCCTGTACGCGGCCTGCAAAGGTTCTTTTGCTTCACGCGATCATTGTTGATGCAATGATATACACAAAAGGGGCCTTGAGCCAAATGTTGCGGGAGATCAACTGGTCTGAGAAACAACCACAGGGGGCGGTCCCACTGCAGATACATCATGTTTGTGCGTGACATTGTTTGCCCACATGGTTTAAGGTCGTGTGGAGGTGTGCTTTTGTTTGCTTAAGGACACTGACGTGTCCTGTGTGGGGGGCCGCAGATCTTATTGCAAGCTGCGCCCTTTGGCGCAGCATGCAGCCCCCACGAAGAGGGAGGCGCCAACATCTTACGATGTCTGGCAACACCCAGGGAGGGATTTTTTTTGATGTCAGCATGGGTCATGTAGTGTGTCGCCAGTTTTGCACAAGCATTTAACCAACTTCTCGTGTGTGGCGCAAAACAAGAACGCATCGTTCGAGGTCATTTTTTCCGAAGTAGGAATTTGACCAGTTGATCTGGAAACTCCGCAGTGTTGCGCGACAATAAGAAGTAGTTTGAAACAAACCAGGATGCCAGGAATGTCCCTTATGAGGAATGGTAATCTGATGTAATTTGCGAAGAAGGTTCTCAAGACCAAACCTGAAGGAGAAGAGATTTCGAACTTGAATAATGATTGAGTGGGAAGCGGAAATGTCACACCTGCAGCTCCAAACCGGTGTCTATTTGTTGAACATTGCGCTGACAGCTTGATACTTCTTGGTTTCGCTATAACACAGGGGAGTTCGGCCTGCGAGTCTGCGAGCTCATCACGTGTTTGAGCTGTGGGTTTGTGTCGTAAGGACAGCGGAAATCTCAAGAGAAGGCACAGTGAACCGCCGATTTTGGGCCAAGGCTGAGAGTCAATATGGTGGTAGCAAGGGTCCCGAGCCATTGCAGCTTGACAGTGACTAGCGCCCATGAAAGAATCATCCCTTCTCATGGCTTCTCTTATTTGTGCTTGACCTCAGCCAGACAAATGAACCTCAACAGCTCCGTTGATCTTGGCTCCAGCACGGCTCGGTTCAGCCGGCGCATGGCGTACTTACCTGTTCCGTTGTACATTTGACATGTTTTTGTCAACAGGAGTTTCCTTTCTTCGGCGTTGGGGGTGTCTTTCTTTTAAGGGCCACAAGCGGCGGTTTCCTCTTGGTGTCCTCTAACAGCGCCAAGAGAACAGGGTACCCTCAAGAAAGACGAGCCGCCCATGTGTGCTAACCACCAAAAAAGTCAGCCATTTTGGTCAAGGCCCAGGTTTGAGCTTTGTCCCAGTCGAGCCAGCGAGCGAGTCCGCGCGATGGATCTGGAGAGCGCCAGGCAGCTGGCGGCTCCCTTGGCGCAGGAGCTGTCTCCCTACAAGGGCTCATGCTGCTTGGCTAGCCGGAAAGTGCTCGATTTTGCCCCAAAAGAAACCAGAGGATGGGCAGCTTGTGGTTTTCCAGACTGTCCATTTACCACCCCCGCTGCGTTTCGTTTTGATCAGGACACATACCGATCTCAGTTGCGTGAAGAACAATCCCACCCCTGATGAGACCTCGTTACTTGGGACTTCATTGTTTCAAGTTTTGCCAAGATCTAGGCGGTTGCTTTGCCTTCAACTTACTCTAAACCCCGCCTTTCAGACTTTGCAGAATCCTGGGAAGAGTTAGTTGAAAGTGCCCAGCATTGTGAAAAGCTTTGACTTTGCAGGGCTAGACAGTGAATTGCGATTTAGTCGGTAACTTCTCCGGGTCACGATCCCATTCTGTTCAATGGTATGAATTTGTCAGGCAGGGGGCCCTGAAACTCCATCTGAGAGGGAAAGGGGCTGATGGAATTTTGCTTCGGAATCAACTACCTAACAGTGCGCCCTTTTTCGCCATGGTTTTTGGAGGTCTTGATAAAACCTCAGCGTCAAAGCAGTGAAAATCATACAGCCAAAAAAGTAAGGAGACTCAGGATCTCTGTGATTGGCGAAGTGGAGGTTCTGGCTGGGCCGTATTCCCAACTTTTGCCAGAGATGAACTTTGGAGATTTGACGGTCTCAACCACTATGCAGGGGGCGACTGTCCGCCCTTTGAAAGAATGGTAAACTCCTTGATTTCCAGTGTTTGACTTTGTATAGGGGTGTGCCGTTATTATTAGGGTCCCTTTTGGGCACACCGCACACTTTGGATGTCATATGTTTTGGCCCAGCTTTGACTTTCCTCATTGAACTTCCTGTTTTACCAGTCGGGGAGCATAGCACAATTCACTTTGATTATGACCCAGGTTTGATGAGATAGACTTCTTCAAACACAAACCTAGGGTCCCTGCAAGAGGACATTTGTCTTGGGGGTTCCTTTCAAGTTCCACATGCGTTTTTTTGGGGTACCAGGTTTTCAGGTTGGGATTGTGGCTTAGGTGTCTCACGGCTCTTCCTGCTGTGGATCTTCCCCTTGCTCAAGCGCTCGCAAGACGTCGAGCAGTTGCAAGCGGGCGATCTCTTCGAGGTGGATGATGCCGCCAAGCCTGAGGCAGCCGACTCGGGACGGATGTTAGTTTGGTGGCAACTGGAGAATCCAACTTGTTTGGGATTTGTTTTTGGACCCGGCATGGGGGGCGGCGGCCCCAAAAAAGGGTTTTGTGGGGCCCACCCAATATTCTCAGGAGAAACGAGGGGGCCTCTGTTCATGTCCTTTGGGGAATGAAGACTATAATCCGGCTGGTTTCATGGTATTGCAGAATCCCCGCTGCGCGGCTGAGAATTTTGCAGATTTGTTGACCTCCCTTCTTGGTTGAAGATTGGGCGACATTTTGAGACAAGGTTTGTGCATCATTCTCATTCGCCCAGTCATGTCGCTGCGCGTTTTCCATCCCCACCTTTCCATCCCAACATCTTAACTCGTGGCGTGCAGTGTGATCAAGACCCCTCGAGCTTGCCTGAACAAGCTCCGCTTGCAGTTTCGTGCTTGTTTTTTTGGGGAAGCCCTTTTTGGTTGGTTTTGAAGGGAAGCCAAAAGGCAACCAGGGCCCCCTGATTATAGGAGACCCGAAGACCCTCCCATCGGATTATCTCCCACCACATCATCCGTAGGTTTTAGGCTTTTTCAAAGGAAGCCAGCGGATAATGTGCATTTGTTCTATCTCCATAGGCATTTGGAAGTGGGGCATCGGATCTGCACTAATCACAAGGAGCTCACCTTAGTGGACCGAACTACGCGTTAAAGCTTTTTTGATGGGTGTGTCTTGTTCAGGCCCCCCCAAAATGGTGGTTTTCCCTTTGGTTTCTCTTTAAACCAACTTGAAAAATGGTGACCTCAAAACCAGACCCACCCTCATGATTCTGTTGATGTATAGTCATTTCCCCAGATGTGCGATCTGTGGAGACTTAAGCCGCAGGCCCTGTAGTGCTTCCCTTTTGAGTGTCTACATGGCTTAGAGCCTCTAGTTGGGTTCCAATTGAAAATTGCACTGCGTATCCAGGAGCACAGGTCTTCGAACAAATGGTGTCCTGAGCACTAAAACGCAAGAAACTGACATGTCCAGGTCTAGAGACACTGTCCGTAGTTTCCCCAAAGCAAATGGGGAAAGGCATGGATCATAGATGCCTCGGTACAACATGGTGTTGATGTCACATCAGATTAGTTTTGTGTTTCCAGTGGTCATGCTGACAATCACATTTGCCAGCTGTGGAGGATCCACCTGTGAATCAGATGACTTTTGGATGTAGTTGGGTGAAAGGTAGATGGCACAATTGCCCCATTTCGGCTTAGTTATCCCCCTTGCTTACCCAAGGAAAGGACACTGGGCCATCGGTGGGGGCCTTGGACAACTTTAAAATCCCCATGGTTCGTGGCTGGTTTACTTGCAATGGTTAGAGCATGCAGTTTTGGACCTCACTTTGTGGGGCTTTTGTCGCTTATCTGGGCAAAAAATAGAGAGTGCGCCTCCCTTCAAGAAGCCCTTTGTGTTGTGGTTTCTCGGGGAAGATCACGTTAGTCCTGAAAAGAGCAATAAAGGACAACAAAACAAACAAAACACAAATAAACGGAAGCAAACAATCACAACGGACACCGCGCGCCTCTGCAGGCCCTGCAGCAGAACTTCCTGGAGATGTGGCGAAGCGCGGTGTGTGCCTCGGGCCAGCGCCAGCGCTCGGGCTGGCTGCTGCTGCGCGTCTTGGCGCGGCTGCATGTGCCGCGGCTGACGCTGAGAGCGGTTTGCAAGGCTTTGGACGCTTTGGGCGTGTGGTACGTGTTGGTGGTTTCATTTGAACAGTCAGTTCCATGTTCTTGGTTTTTGTGCGCTGTAGAAGACGTCACCGAAGACTTTGTCTCAAACAAAGCTTTGTATTTTATGACAAATGCCCTCTGGCAAGGAAGTGGCTCTGGATGCTGCGGGTGCTGCAGGCGCGAGGGCCGGATTTGGTGAGTGTCCCACGAGCCCCGTACTACGTACTCATGAAGTTGACCCCATCTCTCCAGGGTGACTTCGGACCCAATGGGGTCGGGGGTTCCACAAAAGACCCCAAACGCGACGGACCTCCAAACAAATGTGGACGGCCCCGTCTCCCCTTTGATTTGCGCGTGAGGTGCCTACAATGCCACCTGACCATTTGGCCTGCCGAATGCAATGTTTGATGCTGAGGTCAGCATGATTGGGTTTGGGGTGCTTGCTCGAGCGCTTTTTCTTGGCACGTTTCCTGAAAGGCGGCGTGCTTTTGGCCTCCAATTGCTTCGTGGTTCGGTTTGGTTTGGAGATTTGAGCCTCGGTTCCTTTTGAACCCAATGGGCCCTCTTTTTTGACGTCCAAACCACGAAGCGAAATCACTACTTAGAGATCGATGTGACTGACATGGCGGTTCGATTTCTTAGGAAATTGAGTGACCTTCGGAAGTGTCGAAACGCTTTGATAGGGTCCTACTGGTGTCCCAGTTCCCACGAAAGGCTTTCAGGGGTGCCTCGCCTCAGAATGTGCTGAACTTTGGCTTTCCTCTGTTCCTCAACAAGCTCGTCACCTTCGTCAAAGACAAGGACAGCCTGTTGGTTGGTGGGCCCGGAACGAGCCTCCCCGTTGGGGTCAAGAGAAGGACTAAAAGGGCGGTGCTCCGAGCTGATATGTCTCATATGTCACATAGATACCCACCTGGGTGCTGTGATACTGTGAGGCTCGGATCCCTTGGGCCAATTTTGGGGAAATCCGATTTGGGGATGCCAGACGTCCTGCGCCACAGGATGCTTACCAACACGGCTGCTTTTTGTTGTTATTTTGGTTCTGTTCATTTGTAGGGGACCCCCGGTTTTGTTTGCAGGATGCGCCTCTTGAACAGGGCCTCTTCCTCTGCCTCTGCCTCTTCCTCAGCGAGGCGCGGATTGTTGCACGGTTGACGTGAGGGCTCTCCCTTTGTCGGCAAGCGCATTGACGTGCACAGGCCCCCTTTGGAAAGGCTACTCTCTTCTTGGAAAAAGGGGTTTGTGCACTTCCAGGTTTGTACTTTGTCAGAGGGGATCTTCCAACATTCTCTTTTGACAGATTGCGCAGCGGTCACTGTCGGTCACTGTTCAAAATGCCGTTCTCTCGTAAGGACCCCACCCCCAATAAAACAAATGAGAATATTGTTTTCTCTAGGGTGTTGCCTTTGCAGCAACCCCACAAAACTGCGTCCCATACCACTTCGAGACAAAGAAAGAAACGCGCTTTCCTCTCTTCTCGCCTGCCGAAAGCTGGACAGTTCCCCCGTGCTTGGCGGGACTCGGGGGTGCACGTTTGAGTGACCAGATCTGGGGTCGTACGGGAAGTCAAAGGGACGCTGGCTACCAAATCGATGTTTGAAGAGTTGCCAACACAGTCGACACGTTTGAATCAGGTGTGTCTCCTAACATGCAGGAAGACTTGGGTGAATTGATGCGCTCTTCAAAGCCGTTTATACCAACAATGGGCCCGAGTGTTGGCTTGAATCCGCATGGGGAAGTGTCAAACAAAATGGGGGGCCGCGAAGTGGTAGGTATTTTGTGGTTTACCCCCCAAAAGTACCCTCAAACAACTACACACACACACACACACACATCAAGAACAAGTATTGGAACCCCGGAAATCCTCGCCAGAAAATTGTTTGTCACTCAGACTCGGCAAACACACGCACCCAATTATTTGCAATCACAAGCTGGGACTCAAGGGCTACCCCAAATTTTACACTTGCTTTTTGAAGATTTCCAGTACCCCCGGATGTTGAGGTGGGGGGTTGAATTCCTGGTACTTGTCAAAGGCAAATGGCAAGCCTCCCGCTCCAAACCATTGCACCAATCCAAACCACCCATGAAAAGGGGCAGCAAACATGTTCCACTTGCTTTTTTTTCCCCAGGTTTTTGGGTACCCCGTCAGCACAGGGCTTGGCCTCCTTGGTCGACGCGCGGGCCTCTCTGGGCCTGGAGAGCTGCGGTCTGCGGATCCGCGCGTCCCTGATGTCCTCCATCCTGCGGAAGGTGCTGCTGCTCCGGCAGGACAAATGCGCTCGCGCAGCGAGCGCAGCGAGAGACGCGGGCCGCGCCCAGGGATTTTTTTGTTGTTTTTTTTGCTTCCTGCGCTTTTGCTTAAAAAAAGGGTGCAAAGCTTTTAGAGGTGGCTGAAGGTTGGTTCTTGGGTTGGTTTAAGGGCGGGTGGGGCAACTATTCGAGCTATTCAAAGGACACACTCCCTTTTCGGGCCCTTCTTGTTTTTTCTCTCGCCAAAAAAGAAGAAGCTGTTTTTGTTTGGTGTATAATCCCAGCTTAGTTGCGTGATTGGAGGGTCACTGCGAAACCAAAACTGCGCAAAAAGGACATGGGTACCCACATGGATAACCCCAAATAGGTCACCACCACCGGGCAAGTAGGTCACCACCACCGGGCAAGGGTACTCAACGTCCCTTACTTTGGGGACCACATCAGCAGTAAATTATAGTTACTGTAAGGGAAAGTCCAGTGACCCAAGCCTAAATGACAAGCAGCCAGGATTCCATGCTGCAGTTCTCCAGCGGCAAGCTAAACAATATGATCACAACCGATGTGGACAAGACCCGACGAGCCCTGCGCACCATGCACGTGCTGATTCTTACGGCACCCCTGAAGGCGTTTGGGCCAGGTGCTGAATGGGTGTGTCTTTTGTACCCAAACTGGCTTGCTTTGTGGTTTCCCTTCAACCACCAGAAGCCAGAAAAACTAAAAAACAACCCATACGTTAACAGGGATGGTCATCCCCTAGGTAACAACGACCCCTAACTATTCAAATAATTCCTGTGATGACCATTAGGCCATATATAGAGATTTGCCTAGGCTCGGCTCGCGACTGCCAGAGGCGGGCCGGCGCAAGCCGAGACAGGAGGGTCCATGGAAGACCTCGCCTAGGATGAGGGATCGGTGGTCACAGTGGACTTAGTGGACACGCAGCACGGGTGGGCCGGGCGACGCTGGCATGGAACAAGGAGCAGGTTGGGGCTTCAGTTTATGCCCCCCCTAGCACTTGGTTTCGCCACAGACTGCCGAACAATCGATGGCTGGTTTTGATGGCAGAACGCAGGCCGCAGTCATGGGAGTCAACGCGTCAGATTGTCGATTGCTGTGGGCTCCGATCGAAGAACGAGAGGCAGGCTGGGGCATCCTCATCAAAGCTGAGGGGCGTCACTTCAACGAGCTGACTGGCATGGTTGATCAGGCTGCCGGCCATGCAATCATGGTAGGTGCTACAGTGTGTCCGGGTGCTCACATATAGACGCATTTACGCTATGGTGAGCGTGCGTCTTGCGTGTGGGGAAAGTTTGCTGGCAAAGGTCAACGACGTGCAGGGGGGAAGTGGCTCGATGTGTGATGTGGAGGTATGGTCTGAAGTCCCCAACGATGGAGGATTAGGTGGCGAGTGATGCCAATCATGATGGGTGCGCCCGTGAATCTAATATGTCGTGCAGGCTACACTGTGCCTAGGCGCTAGCAAACAAATGCATTGCGCGGTGCAGCGCAAATATCTTGCTGTCGGAGCACCTGCTTTCAATGTTGGCTGCTGGATCTGCAGTGACAATCATTCGGATGCTCTGTGTCAAAGTTTCGCCCTTCTGACCTCAGCCTCGTTCCGTATGAGTGTCAAATTGGGCGGAATGTTGATCAGGTGACGGACAATGCCCATAATGATTGGAGGGCGCCATTCAAAGAGAAGTGCGCGTTGCAAGCAGACGCATTTGTGAGCAGCATGTGCGTCTTGATGTTGACTGGACTGGCTAGTTTGGCGTGTGTGGGGGGTGCGGTGGAGGCCGCGCCAGGGTTTTGCGGCGATGTAGCGCCTAAGCAAGAGTAGGAGTTGCTGGCTCCGCCAAATGCGGTGAGCAACTCCGGCGTTTTTAGGGGACCATTTTTCAGAAACGCTCACTAGGCCTTTGAATAAGCACTCCTTACATTTTGGGGTTTACAGTTCTGCTGATTCCCCCCTTGTAAATTGAGATGGAACCATGGGAGTGGTATTTCACAAAGAGATCCCACAGATGATGATCCTGGGGTTCCAGGCAAGATCCCATTTAAAAGGTTGAGGTGGGAAGGCAACATGTAGGAATCATGTTCTTGCTTGAGCCCTTTGCGGGGGCCAATGGGAACAGGCGATGAAATGAGTCTGCAATTGAAAGCCGTTTCTATTGGAACAACGCTGGTAAGAGTATCCGTTTCCAATCCTGGGGTCTCCGATCCTGGGCTCACAATGGCTCACCAACTTTGAAACTCGACAAACGCTCGTGGATGAATTGGGGGGGTTGTTTCCATGCAATTTATTGATCGGACGCTAACAAGCATCAAATTTTTTCTGCACCCAGGGGTTCCCATTAGGTGGCGGTGTCCCTGATCGCCCTGCACGCGCTGGTGGGGGTATCGGTGGCTCAGCCGCAAGCGCCATGCAAGCCACCAGCGTTTTGGGAGGATCATCCATTTTGCTCGTTGGTGACTTGTGTCATTGGCCCAAATATATCTTCGGGGTTCTGAATGTGGTCATTGGTCAGTGCCGGAAGGCAGCAAACAAGAGCTGCTCCTTCATCTAATTGGCGCCGCTTCAGAGAGAGACTTCTTGTCAACCATTGCATGTTCTATTTGCGTCGTGTTGGGAGTGTTGCTTAGACCTGGACTTGCCGACGATCGATGATTAACTTAAAGCTTGAGCTCTTTAGCTAAGACCAGTCACTTGCCAGCGCACAACGGCATGTTCATGTCCACACAACTAGTGTCTCTTCAGTAACTGCTTCGCTCCAGTGTTGCCACCACTGGCATTGCTGGCATAGAAGGGCCAACGCTATCAGCAAGAAACACACCATCGTCCGCATGCGTCACAAGCATGTCCAGCATCACTCGAACTAGGATGTGGGCGCACTTGTTGCACACTTAGAATGTGATACAAGTTGCATTTCGGGAGCGATGCCCATACCCATACCAATTCAGATTTAGGCGCAGGTTCCAGATTTCACCTTCCCGAGTATTTCTTGAGGGTGACTCCCAGCAGCACGGCTTGATCTTGGGTGGAACGCCAAGTGCCGACATTTTTGCGATGGAGGGCCCATTAGGAAGCAGAAATTGACACATGAGCACCGCCCAAACTTCCTATTGGCCATTTCAGTAGGTATTCTAACCACCTGGTGTCATGGGGTTTATTTTTAGGGCAGTAAAAGTTGAATAATCACGACCAAAGAGGCACCCCAGAATGGTGTGCATGTATGTGATGTTGGAGGCCCCGTTGATAGCAAGAACATGCTGAATGGCAATGCCCATTTGGCTCAAGATGCCCAGAAGATCAAATCCAGGGTTTGCGCTCGCCTGCCGGACTGGGGTTAATAAGGGTCCCGGTTTCTGGTTCGCGTTGTTTCTTTCCCTGTTGAGTGGTTATCAGCCGTAACTGCTTTTTGGGATTAGGCCCCCTCAGTCCGGTAGTCAGCGCACTTCGTGCATGGACCCGGCTCCGGCCTTCTCGGCCAGAGGACACAGGGGCGGGTGGGTATATCGTCGAAGGCTTTACTACGAAGCCTTCGACAAGCTCACCCGTTAGGCTCGGCGCGAGTTTCAGGTTGGTGTGGCAAGGGTCCCCTGGGAGGAAGCTTCGGACTTGCGTCGGAGCTCCCTCCTGGCGTGGCAGGCCGATTTCACTGAAGAGAGCTATCGGCACCTGCGGGACATCTACCCCGACCTCTACGACGCCGTCGTCGCCCGAGGCCGCCACCAACCAATCCCAATTCACCAACGGGCACAGGCCGCAGCTCAAGGCGCGGCAGGGCAGGCTCCAACACCAGCTCAGCCGCAGCAACAGCCAAGCACCCCATCAAGTCCATCCTCCACCACAACTGTGTCCACCATCAAGGCTGCAGCTCAAAGCGCAGCGCAGACACAGGCAGCAGCGGGGCCGGGAGATCAGGCTGCAGCTACAAGCGCAGCGGTTCCACCAAGAACCACAACTGAGAGCCCGTCCCGACCTTCATCCTATCCACCTGCAACTGCGGGTAGGGGAAGGTATACTGCTAAGGGCAGACTCCTCTTCCGACCCTCCAAGAGGTCACGGGAGGGCTGAGCACTACGACCTGAGTGCGTCGCCACCTCCAGAAAGGTCGGCTCAAGCCGTTTACTCAGGTCGTGCGGCCTTCAACCCGGACAGGGTGTACGAGGCTGAGCAGGTCAGCATCAAGCGGCCTGCACCTGCCGGGCGCGACTCATCCACAGCACCCGCAACAAAGACCGCTCGGATTGTTTTTGCCAAGCGGGAAAGCCAGGTCAAGGCGCCCCCACAAAGCGTACTTGACCAGGCAGCTGCGGATCGCGCTGCGTCAAAGGCCATTCCCCCACCACCGCTGAGAGCACCACCAGCACCCCCAGCACCAGTGCCAAGGGCTGCAGGTGAACGCGCAGCGTCGGTTCCGAAATCGATCAGTGGGGTAAGGCGGCCTGAGACACCGCCCAAAGCATTCAAGCGGGCGCCACCCTCACCTGCGCCGCAGGTGAGGTACAAGTCCCCACCGGCTCCCAAGTTGCCGGTGAAGCAGCCGCCCACTGCAGCTGCCAAGGGCCCCGTCCCTCCCAGGACGGCATTCAGTGCGCCTCAGCAGGAGGCACGAGACCCGCTGGTCATCGCCCTCGACTGGCATAATACGCTTGACATTGGCGTCGAGCCCGACGGTGCGCCCAAGGATTGGCTTTTGCGTACAGTATCCAAACTGTATAGAAGTCATTATCCGATCCAGTTTCGCATCATCAGTTATTGCCAGGCCCGGGACACCCGGGAAAGCACCCTCCGACTTTCCACCCACTTGTCCAAGGTGTGCAACAACGCCATTGACGGCTTGGGCACACTCCCGTTCGGAGACGTGGTCTTGACCTGGAAACGGGTCGGAACATCTGGCAAGGCTGCAGCTTTAGCGCAGCTCGGGGCGTGCGCCATCGTGGACGACAACAACTCCATCCTCAAGGAGTGTCGCACTGCAGGAGCCCTCGGCGTAGGTGTCGATCGGCGAGACGCCAACAGGGCGCTCTACGACGCGCTGGACGAGCTCCACGAATACCTCGCTCAGCACCGACGCCTTCTCCGCCCTGCCAGGGTACTCGAGCAAAACGAGTATCTCGAGGAGGTTGGCCGCCGCCCGCAATCTGCAAGGGGCGGCCGAGGACTTTTTCGTTGACCTGGCACTGCCGGAGGCTGCAGCTCAAGCGCAGCAAGCGCACCGGTTTCCAACACCGGTTGTAACATAAGTTTTCCAAAGGCCGCAGCTTAAAGCGCGGTGTGTCAGCAGACGTGAGCCTGACCTCGTGTGAAAGGTATCCGACATGGCATCAGGGATTTCCCCACCTTCGGATGATAGGTGAAGGTCAACCCTGGGGGAGAATCTAATGAGGAAGACCCTGAACTAGGTGATATTTCGGTACCCGCAATGTCCGTAGTTCCTGTAGGTTCCAGGGCATCCTCATCAAGAGATAATCGTGGTCGTGATCGCAACACGACTCCTCTCCGTAGGACTCCCATTGTAGAGGAACCTGATTCAGACTCTACAGCAACTCCCCTTGTGTATAGCCCTCAAGTGCCAGCACCCGACCCATCTAATAACATGAGTGCTGCCACGTTTGTGGCCGGATCGGCATTGCAACGTGCGCGTCAAGCTTCGCTCATTGCTGATCAGGCTGCCAATGTTGCCCTTCACGAGCATCGAGCCGCGGACCAGGCCAGACAAAGGCTAGGGGAGGTTGCCGCTGTTGCGCAACAAAGGGAGCAGACCTTTAGACAACAGGCAACTGAACTGACATACCAAGCCCAGCAAGCAGTCGAACGAGCCCGTGCTCAGACAGCATTAGCTGAACAAGCTGCACAGCATTCTCAACAGGAAGCTCAAGGCCATGTTCAACAGGTGAGGCAGGAAGCCGAAGGCCATGTCCATCTGTTTTGACAGGAAGCCGTAAGCCATGTTGAGCGTGCTAGGCATGAAGCGCAACAAACAAGGTCGGCCGCTGAAGCCGAAGTGTCAAGGTTGAGACAGGAGGCTATTCAAGAAATTTCCTCACGGGAACAGAGGATCCTCCAGCAAAGCAAAGTGATAGATACATTAGGGAGTGAAAACCTTTTGTTGTCGCAACGCCTTGCTGACCTAGAAAGGGCTGTCGCATCCATGGCACAAAATGTTCCGGTTCCTCCGGATGAAAGTCATGAAAGTCAAAATCCTACGGATCCCGGGTCATCGGGGCTAAATGACGTTGGACGTGACCTTCAGGTTGGATCACAGGCTCCCCAAGTTCAAGGGCCGAGTGATGCCACACGTGAGCAGTGTCCCCCGAAGGATGCAGCTCTAGGCGCATCGGGAAGTTCAAGTAGCGACCCTAAGGTAGCGCCACGTGCCCCTGTTGGTTTCCCAAAATCCTTCGCTCCCCCACAGCCCGACATCAAGTCAGATGCCAAGCGTGTGCAAATCCAGGATGGTGATCCACGTGCACAACCACAAGGACCACCGGACGTCGCTCGGACTCAGGATGTAAGGGGACCTGTAGACGTACAGGCACAAATGTCCTCTTTAACTGAGCTGGTCCATCAACTTTCAAAGTTAGTTGAGGCCCAGGTAGGGGTATCAGGGGCTTCGCCCCCGATCGCATCGGCTCAGGCACCCCCGCCTTCCGTAGCTGTCCAGCGCACAACTGCTGTACCCCACGCTTAGGCTAACAAGTGCAAGTACAAGTCAAGTGGCTCAATTCCCATCCTCCCCACTCGCACCTTCGGAGGCAAGCTCCGACACATCCTCAGAATCCGGTGGCGAGGGTAACACTCCCTCATGCCGAGTGTGTGGTGGCCCGCATGATGATACCGCCTGCCCCTCTCTTTCCATGAATGGGGGGCAGGGACAAGGTACTCAAGCAGCAGATGCAAGTGGTGGGGATGCTGCTACAAGCGCAGCAGATCCGGCCTCACATGAGGAAACCGTGGTTCGCATAAAGGACCTTAAGGATTTAGTGCTCCCGCTTCCGCCAGAGAACGCCGGCCAGGCGCGTGGATATGTGAATCAAGTCCTCATGGCCACTGGACGTCTACAAAAGACGACCGGTGACGAGCTCTATCTCTGGGCTCAGGATTGCCTGACCTCATCCGAGGAACAACTCAGGGCAGACGCGCGCTTCCCACGCACAACCCGCGAGATAGCCGCCAAGCTGTTGAAGACCTGTCGCAAAGGCAAGTTTGGGTTGTTGTTCCAAAACATGGTGGAGCACGAACGGAACACCGCAGGTACAATGCCCAATGGGCGCGTGATGTTGCGTTCGATCTTCAAGCACTTTCAACTGGAGCGTGATCGGATCGGCATCCTTGGAGAACGCAATCTTCTAGGTTTGAAACTTGCCGGCCAATCAGTAGCGGACATAGAGGCGTT